GCTTCTAACACTCTTCTCACTGCTCTTTTCCTTGCTTCTATCTGCTGCCGGAATCTCTGTCTTCTTGTTCATTCTGCAACCTGCTTGCTCGGTTCAACTATTTTGATCGTTGCTGCTTCTGGTAATTCTATTTTCTTTCCTCAATTGGTTTTCACGGAACTAGGTACGTCTTGTTCTTTGATTTGCTTCGCGCCAGTTCGTAATTTCCCATCTGTTTGTGCTTTCGTCAAATCAGTTTGATTCATTATACTTTTAATTAGTCTTATTAAGAGATTGAATGTAGTGATATTTTGAAATCTTGCTGCTCTGTTTATATTGGAAATGTTGTAATAGTATTGAGAATTGGATTAAGAGATAGATTGTAGTTGATCTTGTTTATATGAATTTTATGTAATTTCCAATCTGTCTATTTGCGGAGTTTTGGTCTATTAGCCCTATACGAGAACTGAGTTTAGATGTTGGAAAATTGAAGACTTATAGACAAGTTTACACATGATATTGTTTGTGTTTATAAACTATAACACGCTTTGAAGTGATTGAATCAACCTGATTTTGTCCAAAATCTGTAGAAGCATTTTTGTGTGTTCTTTTTGAAGTGTTTTAAAGATCATTCAGTGGAATTTAAACTCATTTTAAGGGGCTGAGTTCTTGGTTATCTATTCCTTGCCCGTTAGTTCAGTGTATAGCTAGAGCTTTATATTGATCAAAATGCAGATTATGGCCGAACCAATATACACTGTAGCTTCTGATAGTGAAACCACTGGGGAGGATAGATCAGCATCAATCTTTCCGGAAATTGCTGTTGGAATTGATATTGGTACTTCACAGTGTAGTATTGCAGTCTGGAATGGATCTCAGGTTGAGCTTCTTAAGAACACTAGAAATCAGAAGATTATGAGATCATATGTCACCTTCAAGGATGATACTCCTTCTGGTGGAGTTATTAATGAGCTAAGTCAGGAGTATGACATGCTCTCTGGTGCTGCAATTTTCAATATGAAACGCTTGATTGGAAGAGTTGACACTGACCCAGTTGTTCATGCAAGCAAGAGCCTTCCTTTTCTAGTGCAAACTTTGGACATTGGTGTTCGTCCATTTGTTGCAGCTTTGGTGAACAATATATGGAGATCTACCACTCCTGAAGAAGTTCTGGCAATCTTTCTTGTTGAACTGAAAATGATGGCTGAACATCAACTGAAGCGGCCAATTAGAAATGTTGTTTTAACAATTCCGGTTTCGTTCAGCCGATTTCAGCTTACTCGGGTGGAACGAGCTTGTGCGATGGCTGGCCTTCAAGTCAGGTTGATGCCTGAACCAACAGCAGTAGCTTTATTGTATGCCCAACAACAGCAGCAGCAGGCTGTACATGAGAACATGGGCAGTGGAAGTGAAAAGATCGCCCTTATTTTCAACATGGGAGCTGGATATTGTGATGTTGCTGTATCAGCCACAGGGGGAGGAGTGTCACAGATCAAAGCCCTGGCTGGAAGTCCTATTGGAGGTGAAGATCTACTTCAAAATACCATGAAGTATCTTTTGCCAAATGCGGAATCTATATTTTCACACCGTGGAATCGATGAGATCAGAAGGATGGGGTTACTCCGAGTTGCGACCCAAGATGCTATCCACAAGCTTTCATTCCAGTCGAGTGTTCAAATCGATGTGAACTTGGGAAATGGGTCTAAGTTATGCAAGGTTCTAAGCCGAGAGGAGTTCGAGATGGTGAATAGCGAGGTGTTTGAGAAATGTGAGAACCTTGTAAATCAATGCTTACACGATGCAAGAGTAGGGATTGATGATTTGAGCGACGTAGTAGTAGTTGGTGGATGTTCGAACATACCAAAGATCAGAAGTTTTCTGATGGAAAAAAGCAAAAAGAAGGCACTTTATGAAGGAATGAATCCTTTAGAAGCTGCTGTCTGTGGTGCAGCTTTAGAAGGTGCAGTAGCATCGGGCATTGCCGATCCGTTTGGAAGTTTAGATCTCCTTAGCATCCAAGCAACGCCTCTCGCCATTGGAATTCGAGCTGATGGAAACAGCTTCATTCCAATTATTCCCAAGAACACTACAATGCCAGCACGCAAGGAGTTGGTTTTCACAACTGTAAAAGACAATCAAAGCGAGGCCCTGATTGTTGTATATGAAGGCGAAGAGACAAGAGCAGAAGAAAATCATCTACTTGGCTATTTCAAGATCATTGGAATTCCACCAGCACCCAAAGGAATCCCTGAAATTACTATCTGTATGGACATTGACTCCTCAAATATGCTTAGAGTTCTAGCTGGGGCAAGACTCCCAGGTGCTCAACACCCTGCAACCCCTTTCATGGAAGTCAAGATGCCAACCGTCGACGACGGGCAAGGCTGGTGTGCAGAGGCTCTGCATGGAAAATATGGTGCTGCCATGGACTTGGTTTCATTGCGGAAGAAAAGCTAGGTGAATATCTAGAGCCTACTGTTCTGTTTCTACATTCACTTTCATATATGACTCCTTAAGTTCAATGCAAATACATAGCGAAATAATGTATGTTGGGTAATGTAAATGTCACATTTTCATGTTTTTAAGTGTCAATAGCTTCCTGGAATATGAACTACTGTGATAGATGAAGAATTAGGGACACTCTTGTTGGCGATGCTGTAGTTATTCAGTGTAAGTTGTATCTACCTTGTTAAGTACATCCTAGATTGTAACATGATCTCCTTGTTTCAGTATTAGAGGCTTGAAAATGACTTGACCATGATTCATCAAGTTTGATCTATTATGTATTACTATGTTCCATTATGTATCACTTTAAAACGTGAAACAATCGTTTGGTTGAAAATCACTTTTCCATTCATCTTGGACTTGTTGAACTCTTTCTAGAATGCGAATAAGCTCCTAGTGAGACTTGGACAATAGAACTACTATTAGGGAGAAGTTTTCACACCGTTACAAGGAATCAACCTCATAGTTTTAAAACGCATTTATTAGGGAGAGGTTTTAACATCCTTATAACGGATTATTTGTTCTTCTCTCCAACTAATGTGGTGTCTCACAATTCACCCTCTTGGAGGCCAATGTCCTCATTGGCATATTGTCTGGTATCTGACTCTGATACCATTTATAACAATCTAAGCCACCACTAGCAGATATTGTCGGCTTTGGCTTGTTACGATCACAGTTTTAAAACACATCTACTAGAAAGATGTTTCACGTCCTTATAAAAAATGTTTCATTATCCCGTTCAATCAATGTGAGATCTTATATCATACTATTGATTTATCATTTCTAATTCTCCAAAATGCTAACTTTATACTAATAGAAATGTCTCCATCATTTATTTCAGTACTGAAATGATTCCTACCACGAGAAATATATGCTAAATTGTTTTTAAAAAAATATTGATTTTGATTTTGGAAGAGGAAATTGTGTCTTTTTTGGGAAGAAGTTCCATGTTGATGTGTCCATATTCCTTAGAAAAGAGAAGAGCAGTAGAGCCTACAGAACTGCAAACAAAAACCAGACATCCCTACACAACAACTAGTAAACTCCAAACAAAACCTCTGCACTTACTTAAACACTCTCTCAAACTCTAATGCCTTGTCCTCATCCAAACCCAAACTCACCTACACGACTCTGTACTCTCCATTAGATTCCAAACACAAAAGGGCACTGATCTTACGACGTCATCTGTTTTGGATGAATGAGAACAGAACCCCCTCCCTCGCCAAAACGACATGTCGAATACGACACAAACACATGATAAAATAAAATCCCAGCTCACTCCCCAAAACTACATGTGTTCTGATTCTGTTTCTGAACCAATCCCCCTTCTCAATATCTCTGTGCTCCGCCATTGTTTCAATTCCCAAAGCCTACTTCCCTCCTCCCTTTTGACTTTCTCTTTCAACTTGCGACATAAACCCCGACACATATTCCCACTCCCTTACCTCATCTTCTCTCAATCTCACTCATAAAAATCCGACCTTTCTTGTTTTAATCTTCGTGATTTGCTTATTAACAAATACCCATTTGACCAAAAATGAAACCCAGCTCAGTATTAAACACAGGGGAAGATTCCAAGGACATATACTCTTGGTCAATCAACACAGTGTCGCAAATTTTCATAATAATTAATAACAAATAGTTAAGACTTTGTGTTGTTTTTTGGTTCATTTTTTGAGGTTTCGAGGATCTTCACATTTGATTTCACCGGGTCGACCACGCTACCCATTCCCCAGAAACCTAAGACTCTGTAAAAAGAACCACAAAGTTCAAAAAACAGGACAATTTTCACCACATTTTACACCCCAAGTACCACATTGTCGTCTAGCCTTTCGAACTCAACGCCAACTCGGGCTGCCACTCGGACTGCGACTCGCTCATTATTTGTAATACTGATGAGTGTAGTTCGAGGAACACAGTCCATTGTAAAACCTTCATTTTTCTCCTTGATTTCGTATGTTGTAAAGAAGAGATTTTTTTTTTTTTTTTTTTTT